AGTAGGAGACGAAAAGCTGCCACCATCCATTCATGATCATTACATACAAGACAAGGAATGGAACTTGTCTGTATCAAAATATTCACCAAAGATGTCATCAAGAGATCATTATTAGTATGGTCCCATCTTTATCAGGTACTCATTCTAAACCATGAAACCAGTAACCACAGAGGCTTTCTCACCTCAACTCAAAGCTCTAGGGAACAAAGTTAAACACAATTTAAATAATAAATTCATAATTATATTTCCCATGAAGTATCATAATTTAGCAATTCAATTAAAATGTTCCAGTTTAATATGCAAAGTGAGTCATCATCCAAGAATTCGAGAACCCTACAACTTGACTGCCCCTGATCATCACACAACATATGTAAACACGACCAAGTCACCTTACTGCTCAACTCACCAAGTGTCTCTGCCTATAGCTGGATAGAGGGGGGGGGGTGGTCTGTAGCTTGACAGAGACTGTCTCGCCCCTGCCGGCCGACAGCCTCCCTGCTAGGGACGTCGTCTCAGCTCTCCTGGCTCGTGTGCTGTTCTGTCTCGTTAATGCTTTTTGCTGGATAGCTCTCCGAGTTTATATTGGGGAACCTAGTAGCTAACTCCGCCCACAAGTAGATAGCCTCCGGCACTACCAAGCCACTCCTTAAACGTCGGCTTGTTTGAAGGCTACCAGACTACAATTAAGAGCTTAGCGGAAGCAAGGTGAAATTCTCATGATCTGACCTCAGGTCACTTGAGGTCATTAACCCCTTAACTGCGTTGCCTCCAAATGTGACACCCCCGCAGTGCGCAGGAAATAAATTCTCTGGAAAAAATTCTTTTTTCTTTTTGAAGTGTCAAAAACCCTTCCCTCAGTATGGGTATGCAAAAAAAAAGTCGAAATTGTACTTACTTTGGCTGCTATGGGGTCCGGAAGTTGGGGCGTGACGTCATCATTCCCCGTGCGCCCATGCCGTAAGCTCTCGGGGGCGGTGGGGCGCTCGGGGCGGGGCGCGCGAGTTGCCGCGAATATATTTTCGTTCATTTTTTGCGCACCTTTCCAAATACATTTTCATTGTTTTTATGTGCCAATCCAATGTATAATGAACACGTACACTATAATATCGCAGTACAACATCCGTACTGTCCGTAGACACTGTGTTACGTGCATGAAACTTGTGTACACATATGCAGCACATATTTACTATGTATCATGCTAATTTGTGTATATATACAATCTATTTACACACTATACACTGTCACACACTATATACATTCACCATCAACACATTCAGAACACCGCGTAGCAGCTGCTTCGTATGGGCCAATAGCAGCTGCCTCGTATGGGCCAATATCAGCTGCCTCGTATGGGCCAATAGCAGCTGCTTCGTATGGTCCAATAGCAGCTGCCTCGTATGGGCCAATATCAGCTGCCTCGTATAGGCCAATAGCAGCTGCCCCGCATGGGCCAATAGCAGCTGCCCCGCATGGGCCAATAGCAGCTGCCCCGCATGGGCCAATAGCAGCTGCCCCGCATGGGCCAATAGCAGCTGCCCCGCATGGGCCAATAGCAGCTGCCCCGCATGGGCCAATAGCAGCTGCCCCGCATGGGCCAATAGCAGCTGCCTCGTATGGGCCAATAGCAGCTGCCTCGTATGTGCCAATAGCAGCTGCCTCATATGTGCCAATAGCAGCTGCCTCGTATGGGCCATGAACACATTCAGAACACCTTGAGTGAGAGCAGCCACACCCAGCCAGTCTCCCTCACTCCAACATCTTACTCGCCAACATTGCTCCTCCCACCATATTGCTATAGTTCTTATTACACATGTTCTATATACCTATCTACATGTTTTATTTACCAGAACTATGCAAGTAAGCCGGTATTGTGTCCAAACAGTACAGTGGCCACCATACACTGCATGAAAAATCACACAGCAGACGACGCTACGATTACGTCACCTCCCTCACCAAAATAGCTCCTCTCAACATTCTCCTGTTGCTGTTCTTACACTATATACACACACTATATATACCCATGTACATATGTGTTGCCCATAGTGAACCACTAAGCTAGTATGGTGAGCAAAACAAGAGTGGCAGCCACACACACACAATTGAGGCTACCTCAATTCTCGCCCTCCCTCCCTCATCAAAATTCCTCCTTCCACAATACTACGCACAACGCTAATTATAACCACATTCCTGCTATTATCACAATCCTGGTCACTAATTCCTGTAAATGAATAATTGACCACACGTTTATTTTGAAAAAGAACCTAAGAAATCATTTGAAGATTCCTAGATGAACGAAATAATGCTCTGGTGCTGTGGCTAGCGCTGTGAACATCGTGAACAGCATTGAATCACTGATATTTGAACATTGTACCCAGTCATTATCACACTCAGGCTCTAACACTAAATAATACAATTTATATATATATTTTGACATTATTAGGCGATGCTGTGGTCACATGCTGAACAGCAGTGCTGTGCGCTCATGCTGCGAGCGCCAGCCTTGGTTGCTCACACACTACTGAGGCTCCCACACCCGGGAATGTGGACCACGATTTTTTTTAAAGATGGCGTCTGTTTACAAGAGCCCTGAGGAAGCTGATGTGAACCCCATGTAGCCGCGGGAGTTTTGAGTGGAACGTGAAAAATACAAATACCCGGAGGCGCGTTGCGCAAACCAGACGTGAGCCTGCAGGCGCGTTGCGCAGTTTAAGGGTTAACGCTTTGAGGTGTGAGATCTCAGGCAGACAACTGGCGCCTCTCCGATCCTTGTCTGTGACTCATGTACTCTATGTATGTATTAACCTAAACCAAACACTTTTACAGTGTTACATTTGGGCTCCCCTGGATTCATCTTCCTGGAGGTTTTCTTCCTCTCGGATTTCCCCTACGGAGGCTTGGGAGGCTCTCGGTGCTTATTTCGTGTGACCCGACTTACACCTTGGTGATGGAACCAGCGTCTTTTGAGTTCGGTTGTTCTTCCCATTATTTGTGCGTTACGAGGTTCTAGAGTCTTCCTGGCTGGCAGACAGTCTGTTGTTTTCACTTGGAGCTTGGTGCAGCTTTTATCGTACCTGCATGCTTGAGTGGAGGGAGGTGTCCTCAGAGTTGCAGATATTTGGGGGGGGGGGCTCTCTGGAGTTCCTCAATGAGTGCCTCTTTGCTCCTGCACTTCCTCATGATGTGGGTCTGTTGCAGCTGCATTCTCAGGCTCCCTTTCTTTCGGCTGCCTTAGTGGCTGACAACCTACGGGCTTGTGCTCACTTGGCCTCTGTCATGAGATTCTTCAGTCTTCTGGAGCTGTCTTTGGATTGGCTTTCAGGAGATGTGGGATCGCTTGGTAGGGGGCCCTCTGACGAGGTTTTGTCTTGGCTGCTTCAGCATCGTCTGCTCTGCAGAAGTTGTATGCGTCGATCCTCTGAGAGACACTTATCAGGTTTTTCCACTCCTATCTCGTGTGTTGGCAGGCTGTTCTGGCTCTCCCTTTCATTTCAGCTTGGGCCTCTGGCTCTTCTTTCGGCCTCTCTGTTATGTCCTCTGCTGTTTATGGAGGACAGTGTGATTCAGTTTTTGTCAGCCACTTCAGCTAATTGGCATCCTATTTCTGACTTGTTGTGTGTCCAGGATGGTCAGTCCTAGCCCTCTCGGAAGGGATGGGCCGGGCCACGAAGCCCGCAAATTCTGAGTCCCTGAAACCCAAGCAGGGCAGCTCTGTGGCTTCCATCTGGACAACCAACCTGGCCTGTTGCAATAAAGATCATGCAATGTGGCTGCTGCCTGATCATCAGATAAGGGATGAGTTAATTGGAGCATAAGCGGGGAACAAGTCCCGCAGGTGTCCCTGACCCAACAGGAAACATGGCAGAGGGAGCATGGAAGATCTTCACCCAGAGGCAGGGGCGACAAACAACCCTCAAATTCGCACAAAGCAAGAGTTGGCACAGAAGAGTATGCACAGTACAACCGAGCCCACAGGTTTCCACGGTCTGCAGGGTGAATGAGCCATACAGGAAGCCAGGCACTGGAGACAGCTAAACCGGGACACCCTGTCGTAAGCAGGCAAACCGACTGCAAGTAGCAGCCGTGAAACATTGGGGGCAACAAATGAGGACTACCACCACACCCTAGGTCAAGACTAATGAGGAGCTAAGCAGCCCTCCACTGCAAAAACAGGCTTAAATGTTGGAAGTGAAACACACAAAGTACCCCAAACCCCACGAGTTAGCAAATTAGCAACCGAGAGAAACGTTGCCCACCGTGTGATAGCTTATGCAGGCTGTGCTAGCCGCACTGCACGCCATCAGCAAACAAACACTTCCCTATCTGGGGCACAGCTGAAATGGCAAGACCCCTGACACATACCAAGGGCAAGGACAACCACAAGCGAGGAAGCCCCCTAATGAGGAGTGATTCCCATATGCCCCAGGGAAGATAACCCCTGACCAGGCAAGGGCAGTACTCATGGAACACCTAAGGAAGTTGTCCCTAGACACTTGCAGCTCCGGTATCCTGAACTGGAGCAGCACTTGTGTAGCTTGTACTGTACTACACTGTACTTGTGGTGGCCAGCACACACCACAAGTGCAGGAACGCCTTGAGGCAAAAATCCTATTAAAGAAATCGGGGCCTGAGGTGATGTTCGGCCGCCAGCACCATCAGTCAAGAACTGGATTGGTGGGTTTCAGCTCACTCGGGCCAGCTACCCCTCCCCTCGTGGGGGAGGGTGGCACTAATGAGCGGCTAGTTGCCCCTGCTCATAGTAATTGATAAGCATTGTTTGTTTTCTTTCTGGGGGAGTGGGGGAGTGAATGATTGTATAACACATGTAATGATACTATTGATGTAGATTCAGATAAGAATCCTAAATAACAGGAATCAAAAACATTTGACTACCAACATAAATAAACATTACCCATATGGTTATGAACACCCTCAATGAACATACATGCAAATTTCAAGAAAATGTGGGGAAATACTACATAATTTTTATTATTATAACATACCTTCTATTGTCTTTAATATCAATGTAAACAACTTTGTCTGACACTTTTTCAACAGCATCTGCTATGAAGTTGTAAATTTGTCTCTTGCTAACAGACGGTGGCGGTTGATTAACACTGTCCTCGGTTTCTGGTGCCGCAATGAAAGAAAACGGACTTGCTGCACACACAGATGGGACTCCTTGTTTTAGTTCATAAATTTTTGCTTTTTCATACACACCCTTAATTGTAGCACCAATGAATAATCCAGCCCCTAAACCCAGAGCTGTTCTTATATACGATACTTTTGACTGTGAATAATGGTCTCTGTCACCATCAGGATTTAATGGAGAGAATACTCCACTACTCTTTGTCTCGGAGTGAGCTCTACAGAGGACACATGATGTTGAGAGTCGGTGATGAAAGGCTCGCTGGCCAGCTAACCATGACCTCTCCCAAGCCCAGACAGACTTGTAGCGCAAACCTGGAATGAAATTTTAATGAAATCGGATTAAAGGAAGACTGGAAGTTTTTGTATGTAATACACTACAAATCATGTAAATAATGTAATGCATCTTACAGAAAGATGGCAAATTATATTCTCTATATCAAATTTGAAAAAAAATATTATTATTTAATTTGTAAATGTTCCTTACACACATTACACAATAGGATTTGTCCATTATTAACACAATATGGGTTGGGTAAGGTTGGGGCAGGTCAGGTGTAAACTTACATGCAAACATGGACATCAAGGTACAGAATACTTTTTCCAGCATAATTTAACTTCAGTGACTCAAAGATCAGTCTTTTGTCAGCATAATTTTGTATTGTTGCCACCAGCATTAGCTAATTTATTGTGCACCCCATACTTTATAGTTTTTTGTACACACCATACTCATCTTGTTGAGAAGTAGCACAGGATAAAATGTTAATATTCCATACAATTAAAAAAGTTATTGATGTAAATAGTGCCTTAATATGTATATTGAAGTAAAATTTGCATTCAACATAACCACCATGATATAAGTTGATAGCAGTGATTACAATGGTGAGGTTGTATGGCTTAGGCACATACACTGGGAGAGTGGGTAGCACAAGGTACGGTGTGGGTTTGAAGCTCTAGGTAGCAAACTATGAAGATGAAATTAGGTATTTTTGGTTTTACTTTTGAATAAGGCATAAGTTGGACAGCTTTTTAATTTGTTAGGGAGTAAGTTCCATAGACTAGGTCTCTTTATTTGCATAGTGTGTTTGCACACATTTAGTTCGACTCTGGGAATATCAAAGATTTTTTTCTGGTGTTGTGATTATGGATTATATTACATCTGTCAAGAAAGAGTTTCAGATTAAGATTTGCATTCAGGAACAAGGTGTTGTACATGTAAATGGTACAAGAGAATGTGTGGAGTGAGTTTATGTTTAGCATGTTTGGAGATTTAAACAGAGCGGTACTTTTTAGTATTGATTTTGAATGATGTAAAAGTTGGACAGCTTTTCAATTCAATAGGGAGTGAGTTCCATAAACTGGGTCCCTTTATTTGCATAGAGTGTTTACACAAATTAAGTTTAACTCTGGGGATATCGAAGAGATATTTATTTCTGGTGTGGTGATAATGGGTCCTATTACATCTGTCCAGGAAGAGTTTCAGACAAGGATTTGCATTTAAGAATAGGGTTTTGTAAATGTAGTTGACACAAGAGAATTTGTGGAGTGAGATTATGTTTAGCATGTTTAGGGAGTTAAACAAGGGGGCTGTGTGTTGTCTGAAAGCAGAATTTGATATTATTCTGATAGCAGATTTTTGCTGGGTGATGATGGACTTGAGGTGGTTGAACCCCATGCACAGATACCATAGTTGAGATAGGGATAGATTAGTGCATAATATAGAGAGATGAGAGCAGAGTTAGGAACATAATATCTGATTTTGGAGAGTATACCAACTGTTTTAGAGACTTTCTTAGTTATGTGTTGTATGTGGGTACTGAAGTTGAGTCTCTTGTCTAGGAATAGGCCAAGAAACTTTCCATCATATTTATTGCTAATGTTTACATTGTCAATCTGAAGCTGAATTGCATTTGTAGATTTGCTTCCAAATAGGATGTAGTAGGTCTTTTCTATGTTAAGTGTTAGTTTGTTGGTTGACATCCATAAGTGGACTTTTTTTAGTTCATTATTAACATCATCATTTAGTGTATGTGGGTTGGGGTTGGAGTAAATGAGGGTAGTATCATCAGCAAACAAAATAGGTTTCAGAATGTTAGAGACATTAGGCAGATCATTAATGTATATAAGAAATAGTAGGGGTCCCAAGATGCTGCCCTGAGGCACTCCAACGGTTATTGGTAGAATGGGAGAGATTATATTATTGATGGCTACACATTGGTGTCTATCACGAAGATAGGATTGGATATAGTCCAGTGCATGGCCTCGGATTCCATAATGATGGAGTTTACATAAGAGGTAATCGTGATTAACAGTATCAAAGGCCTTTCTCAGGTCAATGAAGAGTCCAATTGAAAACTCATTTTTGTCAAGGGCAGAGTAAAAATAGAAAAGGGCAGAATATAAAAATAGAAAAGGGGGGAACATGGCAGAAAAACAGCAACAATACAATTTGGTCGACAAACAGCATTGTTTAAAAATAGCAGACATGGGTTGACAATATAGGGGTAAGGTAGTGCTTAGTTTTTATCTTAAGCACTAGCTCATTAACTCCCTGTAACCTACCTTACCCCTTACTACCTTACACTTAGGTAATTACAATACAATACAATACAATACAATTTTATTTAGGTAAGGTACATACATACAATAAATATTTACAAGGATTGATTAACTTATAGGTATAGCTAGTACATACAATGCCTAAAGCCACTATTACGCAAAGCGTTTCGGGCATGATAAACTTAAATGACAAGCTTAATACTAATTGAGCATAATGAGTAGAATGAAAACAAGAAATGAAAACATAGATGAAAAAGCAGCACAAATACAATTATGTCGACAAACAGCGCTCTTTAAAGAAAAAAACAGACATTGGTTGACAATAGAAGTGTAAGGTAGGTTACAGGGAATTTATTAGGTATAGCTTCGCTTTTAACTTAAACTGGTTGAGAGAGGTACAGTCTTTAACATGGTTGGGAAGGTCATTCCACATTCTGGGCCCCTTGATTTGTAGAGCATTTCTAGTTTGATTAAGTCGTACTCTAGGAATATCAAAACTGTATTTATTTCTGGTGTGATGCTCATGGGTTCTGATACAACCTTCTATGAAGCTTTTGAGATCAGGATTGGCATTATAGTTTAGCGTTTTATATATGTATAATACACATGAGAGAATGTGCAGTGACTTAATGTCTAACATATTCAGAGATTTAAGTAGGGGTACCGAGTGGTGTCTGGGGCCAGAATTGGATATTGTCCTAATAGCAGCTTTGTGTTGAGTAATTAGAGGACGTAAGTGATTTTGGGTAGTAGAGCCCCAAGCACAAATACCATAGTTGAGATATGGATAGATAAGGGAGTAATAGAGAGTCACCAGGGCAGGGCGTGGTACATAATATCTGATCTTAGAAAGAATGCCCACAGTTTTTGAAACTTTTTTTGATATGTTTAGAATGTGTCCCTGGAAATTAAGCTTGTGGTCAATGAGAATGCCAAGGAATTTGCCATCTAATTTGTTACAAATTTGGGTATTGTTTATTTTGAGATTTATTTGATTAGAGGATTTATTGCCAAACAGAATATAAAAGGTTTTGTCAATGTTAAGGGTGAGTTTGTTGGCAGTTAGCCACAGATGGACTTTATTTAGCTCAGTATTTACTGTGGCATTTAGAGCAAGGGGATCAGGACTGGAGTAAATGAAGGTTGTGTCGTCAGCAAATAGAATTGGTTTGAGGTGTTGGGAGGCATTTGGAAGGTCATTAATGTAGATGAGAAAGAGGAGAGGGCCAAGTATGCTGCCCTGGGGAACACCAATGTTGATGGGTAGGGTGGGAGAAATTGTATTATTCACAGAAACATATTGGAGCCTGTCAGTAAGGTAGGATTTGAGGTATTGTAGGGAGTGTCCTCTGACTCCATAATGATGTAATTTAAGAAGAAGGTTTTGGTGGTTGACAGTGTCAAAAGCTTTACGCAGGTCCACAAACAACCCAACAGAGAACTCATTTTTATCAAGAGCTGTATGAATCGAGTTAAGCATACTAATAAGTGCATCGTTAGTGCTTTTTTTGGGTCTGAAGCCATATTGGCAAGGGCTAAGTATATTGAGTTTGGCTAGATATGAGTAAAGCTGCTTATAGATTAGTTTTTCAAAAATTTTTGACAAGTTTGGCAGGATAGATATAGGTCTGTAGTTGTTAACATCTGTGAGATTACCACATTTGTGGACAGGCGTTACTCTCGCTTTTTTTAGAATATCTGGGAAGGTTTGGAGTTCAAGTGACTTGTTGAAGAGCAAAGCAATAGCAGGGGCTAAAGATCTGGAGGCTTTTTTGTAAATTAAAGTTGGTATCTCCTCAAGGGCACCAGACTTGGTTTTAAGGGAAAAGATTATCTCATTGACGTCAGTGGAATTAATAGGCTTTAGGTACAGAGACTGTGGATAGTTACCTGAAAGATAGTCATTAATGTCTGTACTGGAAGATGGAATATCATTTGCAAGGGATGAACCAATGGAAGAGAAGAACCTATTGAACTCAGTAGCAGAATCAGAGGCTGAAAGCTGACCATCGTTATTAGACAGGAGAGTCGGTTTGTTATTTAAAGACTTCTTTGATCCCAATATTTGAGAAATTGTTCTCCAAGTTTGTTTAATGTTGCTCTTTATTTGGGTAAATTTATCTTCGTAGTATTTAGTTTTGGCTCGTCTAATTATCTTAGACAGCAATAATGAGTAATTCTTTGAGAATTCTTTGGAGACAATTCCTAACCTATACTTCTTCTCAAGGTCATGTTTTTTATTAATAGATTTAAGTATTCCCTTTGTAAGCCAGGGATTGTTAAGCCTTTTGGTTGTGACTTGTTTTGTAAGCATAGGACAGTGGGTATTATAAAGGCTAAGAGTTTTTTGAAGAAAAGATTGTACTGCAAGGTTGATGTCCACTATGTTACCTAACTCGGACTCCCAGTTGACATTATCAGCAGCAGTTATAAAATTGTCTATAGCAGTTTCATTGTGCAGTCTAAAACGTATCACTCTTGACTCAAGAGGTGGTTTGCTAATGTTAGTTAAGAGAAATGTGGGGTAATGATCTGTAGTGCTATCGGTGATTATACCTGAAGTAAGCGGAGAGGTTATGTTTGTCCAGATGTGATCGAGCGTCGTGGCAGTGCTATCAGTGATTCTAGTAGGTCTAGTGATTAAGGGTATGAGGAAGCAGGAATTCATACAGTTGAGGAAGCTAACAGCAGTGGGGTGTTCAGGCTCGCAGAGGTCAATATTAAAGTCCCCTGCGATAATTAGGTGGTTTTTGTTCAGTCTGTTATCAAGTATTAGATTTCTAAGGTTTGAGTTGAATTCGGACACATCAGTGTTAGGAATTCTATAAACTGCACCCACAGTCAGGACAGACTCGGCACCCTTGACTCTGAAGTCAATTACCCCCACAACACCTGAGGCAGCGAGCGGCCCGCACCATACAACACCAGGATAACATAACTTCACTTCCACACCCACAATACTCTTTAATAACAGCTTTACTTACTCGTCATACCTCACACCTGCCACTACTGTACCACCACAACACTCCTGCTGCCTCACACCACCACCAGCTGTTGTTGTTGTTGTTGTGATCCCGCACCACACCACTGTTACCCGCGCTCTCTAACACCAATACTAATTAATCATTATTGATTAATCCCTTGATCGTCGTCGCCCCTAAGCCAACAACAACAACAACATAATTATTAATAATAACAATAATAACCATAACAATATAATAATAATAATAATAATAATAATAATAATAATAATAATAATAACAATAATAATAATAATATAATAATAATAATAATAATAACAATAACATTAACAATAACATTAATAATAACAATAATAATAACAATGTTGTTGTGTTGATTTAGGGGCGCTAATAATAACAATAACAATCATAACAACAATAATATAATCAAACAAATCACTCCTGGTTCAACCTTGACGACGCGCGAATGTCTGGACACTTCCGTCTGGGAGCCGCTGGATCATGTTCTGTTTTGTTCTGTAATGGCAATGAGGTGGCCGACGCAACAGCAGGGATGGCGCATGCTCTCCTTGACACAACAAATGTGCCTCTGGACCTTTCAGAAATTCTCCCGCAACTCCGGCCGGTTTGCCTCGCAAGTTGGGAGGCGATGATGGAACCAGCACTCAGGTCCTTCCCTCTGGCGGGTCTCCGGGAGGACTCCTCCCCGCGTCCATGGACTCTTCCATCATTCTCGACTCCTCGACACTGCCATTACTCGCCTCCGGAATGGGCACATCTCCATCATCTACGGTTGGTAGATTCCCCATACTGCCAGTGGTGTCCGACCCAGGAGGATACAGTGGAACACCTTCACTGCCCCCGATTTCATTGCGCTCGCGTCAGACTACAGAGTGCCATTCGTAGGCTGAATATTCCCCGCCTCACGGTTCCCGTTCTCCTTGACGGGGCAGGTGCGAGAGACGAAGACGGCCAATATGGCATCCTTCGCCATACCTTCCGCTTCATTCGTCATATCCGTGGCCTGAAGAGACGTAAAATATATGGCCTGTAGAGACTATAAGGACCCCATCCCTCCGCTATTTCCCGGTATCGGGCAGCCGGGGCGCATCCGATCCCAGGATCGTCGTCGCCCCTAAATCAAACTAGAAATGCTCTACAAATCAAGGGACCCAGAATATCCTGGCCGTGGTTCGTATCCTGGCCGGGGAGGATTTACTGGGCGCAATTCCTTAACTGTAGCCTCTGTTTAACGCAACAGTAAAATGTGTACTTGGATGAAAAAACGATTCTTCGCGGCAGGGGATCGTATTCCAGGGACCATAGGATTAAGGACGTGCCCGAAACGCTACGCGTACTAGTGGCTGTACAAGAATGTAACAACTCTTGTATATATCTCAAAAAAAAAATATGGAATGACCTTCCCAAACATGTTAAAGACTGTACCTCTCCCAACCAGTTTAAGATAAAAAGTAAGCACTACCTAATTAACTCCATGTAATCTACCTTACCCCTATAATGTCAACCCATGTCTGTTATTTTGAAACAATGCTGTTTGTCAACCAAATTGTATTTTTGCTGTTTTTCTGCCATGTTCCCTCTTTTTTTTTATTTTTATATTTTCTCAACATATTTTATACTTTAATCTCAATGAGTATTAAGTTTGTCTTCAGTGTTTTTCCTGCCCGAAACGCTTTGCGTAATAGTGGCTTTAGGCATTGTATGTACTAGCTCTATCTATATCCCCAAGCCATGGACGTTGACAGCAAGTCCCAGAGAGCAAAACGTCTGTTGGAAAATGAGTCGGCTGATGCTGCCCCAGAGCGAGATGCTAAGAGGATGTCTACGCCTTCAGAAGACCCTCCTCTTGTGGTAACTCATTCCTTGTTTGTGGTTGTCCTAATCCAGTCAGCAACAGGTCAGTGCGCTTTTGCAAATCCTCGTACCTTAAGTGCAGCAAATGAGGCTTCGGTATTGTAGTCATATTGCCTGCCTGAGACCGTGCGTTCCCTGGGTAGGGGTGCAGCACTGAAGCTAAACATCAGGCAGGAGGCTCTGTTGCACGTCCGGTTATCCGACATTATTAAGTTTGGAGACTGGTCAGTCAGGTGCCGACAGGTATTGTCTCAGGAGAAGGAGTCTCGAGTCCGGTTTGGGAAGATTGGCCCAATTGACCCGAGTGTTGAAATGAATGACATCCAGGCCGCTCTGCAGGTGTTAAGGGGTGCATCAGCAGGATTATTGGAAGTTACCAGGATTCGCGGAGCAGCAGGGCCGACATTCATGATCCGTGTAAAGTTCGATGGGCCCCTCCCTGATCGGGTGGCACCACACAGGACCTCGTATCAGGTCCAGCCCTACAACTTTCCTGTGTTACGATGCTTGTAATCTATTGGGCCACAGTCGCCTCACCTGCCATAATGCAGCACGCTGTGCAAACTGCGGCAAAACAGGTCATACAGACAGAGATAATGGTGGGTGCTCTGCTGCACCTCGCTGCCTTTTATGTCATGGCCATTCAAAACGTTACGTCCAAGAGTTGCCCTGTCTTTAGGCCCTCCAGATGGACATCGATCATGAAACAGCGGAGACCCCGTATCTCATTACGGGCTCACCATAGCCCGTGCTACATGGACATTTCGTTCTGAGTAGCTAAATCTAAAACAACAACAATAACAACCCTCGACATGAGCTGTTACAGAGGTTGCACGCCCTCAATCAGCCTATCGTTCCTTCTCGCCCTCAGATTTCCCCGGTTAGGTCTTTTCACAAGTAGGATCTAGAAGTCGCTCTTGCTTGTCCCAGCCACATGCCTCATACGCCCAGACTGCTAATCGATTTTCCCCTCCTGGGTCGCCTCGACATGGATGAAAACTCATCCACGGATACAGACATGGACGCTCCGTCTCGGCCGGAGCCCGGCACTCGTAACCCCCAGTAACCCCCGTGCCTCTCCCCAGAGAACTGGTGCTACGTATAGCCTTCCCGGTTTGGTGCCTTCTTTTGATAATTACTTACTCTCCCCAGAGAAGCCAACATCGACGTCGTCGACACACCCATTGATAATGAGGTTTTGCTCCATCGGATAGCCCTGATGATCCTCTGGTCCCCTAGGCGCTTTCCCATGGGATTGTGACACCGGTGGAATATGAGGCCCAGAGTGAAGCACCCACCAGTCGCAGTCGCCGTCAAGAGGGTTCGCTAGCCGATCACCGCTTCAGTCAGGCTAAGAGAAGCATTGCTCAACAGCCTTTGGACTAGTTGACTGATACCACACAATTTACTTACTCTGTACCAGGGCTTTATGGCTATTTCTGGTGGTTCCTCCTTTGGAGACGTCTGTGCAAAAGTGGTCAGAAAGTTAGCTGCTGTATTTCAGACATAATAGCGCCCCATCCTGAGAATAATGTGATATTTTGGAATACCACATTATTACAACGGGAACCACCCGTTCCCTTTTTAAGAAGACACAATTCTCACGCAATTTTAACGTCAGCGCACCACCGTTGATCGTGGGACTCTGTGAGACTTGGCTTACTGACGATCTTTCCTTGTCACCAAGGAACCCGGCTTACTGCCGGGTTCTTCGGTCTATAGACAGGATGGGCCGTCAAGATGAAGACGGACTGTATTGGCAATTATCGATTCCAGTAACTTTCCCAGTCTATACCCTCCGAAAGATCGTTCACATATATTAGAAACAGGACGGGTCCAAGTACTGAGCCCTGTGGGACTTTGCTGGTGACATCTCGCCACTCTGATGTCTCCCCCCTCACCGTTACTCGCTGTTTCCTGTTGCTTAAGTACTCCCTTATCCACTGGAGCACCTTCCATTTTACTCCTACCTGTTGCTTCAACATTTTTAACAGCCTTTAATGGGGTACTGTGTCAAAGGCTTTCTGGCAGTCCAGGAAAGTGTAGTCGACCCACCCTTCTCTCTCCTGCCTAATTTTTGTTTCCTGGTCATAGAATTCTATTAAACCTGTGAGACACGATTTACCATCTCTGAACCCATGTTGGTGGTGCGTTACAAAGTTATTTCCTTCCAGATGCTCTACGAGCCTTTTCCTCACGATCTTCTCCATCTCCAAGATGTTTACAAGTGGTTGAATCTACATAACAAAGGGGATATTAATAGGGTATTAAAAGTATCAACACAAGACAGAACACGAAACAATGGGTATAAATTGGATAAGTTTAGATTAAGGAAAGACTTGGGTAAATACTGGTTCGGTAACAGGGGTTGTTGATTTGTGGAACCAATATTACAGCGTAACGTGGTGGAGGTTGGGTCCCTCGATTGTTTCAAGCGCGGGTTGGACATGTATATGAGTGGGATTGGGTGGTTATAAATAGAAGCTGCCTAGTATGGCCCAATAGGCCTTCTGCAGTTACCATTGTTCTTATGTTCTTGGTGCCTATTTACTTGTGGGTGAATAGGCGCATTAGGTGACAGGAAACGCGCTCAACCATTTATCCCGGCCGGAACATTAAGCAGCATATAAAATGAAATGTTTAAGTACATGATAGGAGACAGCACATAAAGAAATAATTAAACATGAGTGAGTGTGACGGGAGAGGAGAGGTTAGAGGAAAGGAGGAGTGAGGAGGCCATATTAGAGTACCGTCCGGCTCCCTCCGCCACTATGGCCGCCAAGGACACATATCTTTCACACTTCTCAAAATATATTATTTGTACAGGATTCTTGTATACATAAATGCTTTTGTAGTTTTAATTTATAAATTATATACAACCGTAAAATCCTAAAACAGTAAAACTTAAAAAGACAATTAAGTTATTTCTCAATTCGGATAGATTGATTTTTCATAAATTATTATCAAGTTATGTGATGAATTGAGGTACTGATATTCCAAAATATAATTCAAATATAGCGGTCCATAACATATGAACACACCAGCACTCGCATATTGACAATGAAGCAAAAGGCAATGATGAGTGAGAGTGTTTATAAAGATGTGTGTAGAGGAGGCGGCAGTTGTTGATGGTGGAGTTGTTGTGTCAACAGCGAGGTGGCCGGGGCTCTTGTGTATCACCTCCAGCTGGCCTCCTCCGCCTCTCCTCACTCTCATCTCCTCCTCCACCACACTACAAGGCACACCCCACACACCCGCGACACAAGAAGCAACAATGTCTGAAGATAAAGGTAGGTGTTTGTGTGTGAAGGCAAGACGCCACTGAGGCCGCCCACTGCCCGCCATAACCCGCGTGTCGCCTCTGCCTCCACCAATATCTACACTTGTGTAAACAATTGACCTTGCATTAGGTCAACAAGAAGACTATGCCACCATAGGTATTGTGTGCGTGTATGGTGGTCAGAGTAGTATTGGTTTATTACAAGTTAAGGCTATCATTTGGTTTATTATACGGGTCCAGAGTCGATAAGTGCTAAACACTTATTCCACCCCTGTCTTACACATTTACTAATCTTGGTTTAGTATTTAGACAGTCAAATAGTCGCGAGTCAGCTACCCACAGTCTGCTAAACCCAAACCTAACCTAGATAAACCTAACAAATCTCTCCTAATGTTTGTGTTTGGTTGTACAATGATCCCATACCTCACCTAGGTGGGCTCAGGCCCTCGACACCATGTATTGTGTAGGACTCTTACAAGAAGGGCAGAGAACGCTTCTCCCTTGGGCGTAAAGGTTCTTGTTATGTAATATATTCTGTGTTATTGAATCACTTTTACCCCAGGGTTAGTTAGTATAACCCTGCATAAGCACTCTTTAAAAATCTTTTAGAGAGTTGTAAGTCTTAAAAAAATCAAATCTTTAAATGTATATGTTAATTTGTAAGATTTCGTCTAGGTATGCTTACCTCCGTAACAATTTGCAAAATGTAATGCAATGCAAATTGTGGGCGGCCTTCACAGTTACACATGTGAGCACGGTGAAGACGATGCCAAGTTTCCAAGAGGTTTAAAGGATGTCGGTGACTGTTATCCTTCCAAACAATTTACACGGGAAGCATGTGGAGTAGTAAATGTATTGCATTTAAATTGGACAAATTGTCATGTAAGGAACAAAACCATTTTCAGCTTGTAAATTCTGTGATTTACAGAATTCCAGCTTGTAAATTCAGCTTGGTAATATGGAGAAAAGCGGTGATATTGAACAATAAACTGTCAGCAGAAAGATCCAATATAAATATGCACATATAAATATGCAACATAAAGTACTTACTGTATTTGCTGATGTGTAAGACAAGTTTTTTAAATTTTTAAATGTATGAACAAATTACCCTGCGTCTAATGCAGCCGTATTACGGATGTGAGACCGAGCACCATACGCTAGGGAGCCGAATGGGCATACTGGGAAAGTTCGCTAGGCACAAAAAATCGTCACCAACAACAAAATATTGAAAACAAGCCAAATTTTTCTCGTAAATTGTGTTACTAATAATGAAATGTTGAAAACAAGTTGAGTTATTACAGGCTGTTACCACAAACTTAAGAAAAATTGCATACTATACGTTTGCAGTTATGAAGAAAGCTCACATCATCTCACCACCTTACCCAGCATACATAACTCACGCCCGATACGTCATATGTCATAAGGAGCCGGTTGGCCGAGCGGACAGCATGCTGGACTTGTGATCCTGTGGTTCCGGGTTCAATCCTGGGCGCCGGCGAGAAACAATGGGCAGAGTTTTTTTTCACCCTATGTCCCTGTTACCTAGCAGTAAATAGGTACCTGGGTGTTAGTCAGCTGTCACGGGCTGCTTCCTGGGGGTGGAGGCCTGGTCAAGGACTGGGCCACGAGGACACTAAAAAGCCCCGAAATCATCTCAAGATAACCTCAAGATACATTATTTAACGACTTTGTTACCTTTATGAAACATTTATTCATTATCTAAATAAAAAATGATCCTAGAAATTTGAAAGGAATGTTCAACTTTCATCTGCCTGTCAGGTATTTGTGATGAGTAAATGACACCACCACCAGAGCACCGTGGTGGTGCGCCACGGCTGGGTGCACCGCCCTGGTGGCCTGATGCACCGCCCTGGTGGCATGATGCACCCTGATGCACCGCCCTGGTGGCCTGATGCACCCTGATGCAACGCCCTGGTGGCCTGATGCACCCTGATGCACCGCCCTGGTGGCCTGATGCACCCTGATGCACCGCCCTGGTGGCCTGATGCACCGCCCTGGTGGCCTGATGCACCAGCCTGATGAACACAAAACATCACTTTCAAAAATACAATTGATTTGTATGTTTTATTTTATATTTGTATTTTGTATATAACAAGAAGAAATACAAATAACAAGAAGGTACAAGAAATACCTGTTAAATAATTATCTTGCCCAACATATAAACAACTATACAGCTGATCTTAGAGGTAAGACCTGGTCTTCAAAACCCATTTTAAAATATTTTTAAATACTGTAAATGTATGATGAAACATACTAAAAAAAAAGTTTTTCCCCACAAAATATCCCTGTAAAATAGGGATGCGTCCTATGCGAGAGTAAAAGTGCATCCTTTTACATCAGAAAATACGGTAATTTCATAAAATCATGATGGGATTGATAAAATTTATAAGGAATTCTTGAACCCTCAACATTGAGAACAAGAGGACTTTGGTAAGGAAAATGGAAGCATAGTTGTCATAAAGTAAATACCTTCTTGCATACCATATTAGATAGAGGAAATAAATTTAAAGAGAGGGCAGTAACTTAGTAACTACACTTTAGTAATTACCTGCATGATACCTGCTTGATGGGATTCTGGGAGATCTACTGAAGCCTGGCCCAAGGCCAGGCTTGACTTGTGAGAGCTTAGCCCACCAGGCTGTTGCTTGGAGCGGCCCGCAGGCCCACATGTCCAGCACAGCCTGGTTGGTCTGCCACTCCTTGGAGAAAATTATCTAGTTTTCTCTTAAAGTTGTCCACGGTTGTTCTGGCAATATTTCTTATACTCACTGGGAGGATGTTGAACAACCGTGGACTCCTAATTACCTAAGTGTAGTTACAGGATGAAAGCTATGCTCGTGGTGTCCTGTCTACCCAGCACTTTGTCATATAACGCTTTGAAATTACTGACGGTTTTGGCCTCCACCACCTTCTCACCTAACTTGTTCCAACCGTCTACCGCTCTGTTTACAAAAGTGAATTTTCTTATATTTTTCCGGCAGCTTTGTTTCGTTAGTTTAAATCTATGACCTCTTGTTCTTGAAGCTCTGGGTCTCAGGAATTCTTCCCTATCAATTTTATCGATTCCTGTTACTATTTTGAACGTAGTGATCATATCACCTCTTTCTTCTATCATCTAGTTTGTATTATAAACATACTGTATTTATAATCATATATGATTATAAACGTATTTATAATCTTTCAAGTGTTCTGACATCAAGTTTCGTGTTACATCTTTCACTTTGGTATCAAATTGTGTGCGTTCTAAAAGCACTTATTTTGAAACTATCCCGAGGTTGATCATATAAAAAATGAATTTTATACAAATATTTCTGTGGTGGACAAGAGTCCTGTCCACGGCTAGGACTCGATAGAAAAAAAAATGGACATGATCGGTGTCCAAAGAGAGCAATAGTGTTAAGAACGTGCGAATTATGACCATTGACGATCATCACAATAGGTACTATCTAAACAGAAGGATGGGTTGGGCATGGTGGGCATAAAAATGTTTTCAATTATGTTCTTTTAGAGCAGTAAGATCTTTTCAGTCTGATCTTAGTTGTATATTGAGGGATTGAACAGCCCATCCTGTACTTACAGAAACGATGTGGACCATAGTACTGTACATATATTGGTGTAAAAGGCAATTAGAAATTAGAATTTGGTACTATTGAATTTGGACAAACAGAAAATTTTTTTGTACCTATGTAGCAAACAAAACCTAACTTGACCTAACCCAGCCCAGCCCATCCTCCTGTTTACATAGTACTTATAGTAACAATGAGGACCATCGTATATATATATATTGATGTTAATGACAATTAGAATGTAGAAATTTAACAGTAATAAGACGGTACTACTGAATTTGGACAAATCAGAAAAGTTTTTGTACTGATGTTGCAAATAAAACTTAACCTAACTTAAACTTCCTGGGCTTAATACATGCTCTGAGACCTAATAAAGTGCATCTTCAAATGCACTATATTCTAGGCATTCTAGGTAATGCATTATAATATTCCTACGCAATACTAAGACTAGGAATATTTAAGTTTGGTTTTAGCTTTATTTTTTTGGACTCTAATAAAGTGAATTCTACTAATTATTAAAATGCTACAGATTCAAATTTCTACTAATTGTCCCATGCATCTATGTATGTTCAGTGGTCCAATGTAATGAAACACCATTTTCTGGGTGAGATCCAGAGGCTCCTTCGGAGCTGTACCGGGTTGACGTGCATATATTAGACCGTGGCAACAGTCAGCCAATGGAGTTCTAGGCCTACCGCGGACCAGCGCCAGAACCTGGCCCCCTCAGGTGAGGCACAAGGAGCAATGACCTATAGACACCCCTATGTAATTGGGAGCAGTCTATGCCATCTACCAAGTCAGGCACCCAGAAAGGTTGAAATTCCAAAATAATCTATAGATTAAAATTTGCAAACTGATAGCCGAACTAGCAAACGGAAGTCCCCAATTGAAAATAAGCAAACATGATGTCACCACAGTCATCATGCTGCTATTTGTACAACTACCCCCCCCCCCTCTCTGGGAGGGAAAAGGGGGGAAGGGTTTCCAGAAGTCGTGCGCCGGCTACTCGACCTTGGTTCAGAGGCTAGAAAAAACAAACAAACGCTGACCGAAGGTAGAGAGGGAGGGATGCCAGGGAGCCTACAAGTCTCGCCCAGAAAATGCCGTTTCATTACATTAAACGCTGGTTATCTGTGGAGAGTCCCTCCGGCTCTTACCTGGGAGGTGACCGCCACTCGCTCCTCAACTTGAAGTCGAGACAACTGGCTGCAACCTGCGAAACAAGGCTACACACACCCGAGAAGGGTCAGGAACATGAACGAGGTACCATGCGGCCAGGACCCTGTTCGACCTCCAAAAGCTCCGTGCCTGAATGTCAGACAAGGACATATTACCAAAAACAGCAGCCAAAACCACAAACTTACGAACGGCGTAAGCACGGGGATAGACCGCAGGCTGGCTGAACCAAATAATCTTGCAGACC